TGTGTCATGTTGGAGATTCAACTATCTCTGGCACTGGATTTTGAGTCCTTGATGAGAACGGCTACCCTCTATTGGACATGGCACCTGTGCTCATATGTTTCCTATTAAGTATTTACCCCAATATTGTGAGGCACTACTCTGAGCCCTGTTTTATAGAAGTGGCAGCTGCATCCCACACAGGACACACTACTTGCCCAGAGGACCATGGCTTCTGAGTGGGGGAGCCAGGATCTGAACCTACACCTGAATGACCCAAAAGCCTACCTTTTCCTAACCTCTCTGTTACACTCACCACTTACTGGTGGCTGTTAATGAATGTCAGAGCCACTCCCAGGACCAAAGAGCTGTTAGCTTCACCATACCAGACCATCCACACACTCCCTCCCTGTATTAATTAAGAGCACAAAACTCCACAGCCATGAATAAAGAAAGAGAGAGGCACTGTGAGGACATAAGAGCTCACCATGTCTGGGGGAGGTGGTCCAGGGCTGCGTATCCATCTTCTGGGATGACAGGGATGCAGAAGGCAGCTAAGACTGGTGTCTGTTCATTCTGGAAAAAGGCAAAACTGTAAAGTCAGTAAAGAGATTGGTGGTTGTCAGGACCTCGGGAGGAGAGAGAGGGAAAGATGAATAGGTGGAACTCGGGGTTTTTTAAGGGGTGGAAACAATTCTGTGTGATACTATAATGGTGGCTACATGACATTGTGCGTTTGTCAAAATTCATAGGATGTACGGACTAAAAGTGAACCCTCATGTAAACTGTGGGCTGTGGTTAATAAGAACATGTCAATATAAGTCCAGCAACTGTAACACAGTTACCTCTGGAACGCAGAAGGTTAATAACAGGGGAAGCTGTGGTCGGGGAGGGAGAGGATATGTGGAAATCCTCTGCGTTATCTGCTCAATTTTCAGTAAACCTAAAGCTCTGAAAAGTAAAGTCTGTCAATTTTTTAAAGTAAACAAAGAGCCTTAGGACCATGGAGGGTGTGGGTTTGGATGAAAGGGACTGAAACCTGGCACTGGTCCACCAGAATACCTAGTGGGTTCCTCTGCAAGCATTTGAACAGCCCCAGAGAGAGTGCAATCTGGCCGTCTGACACTTAGAGGAATCCACAGCGGGCCAGCTCTCCACCAAGGAACACAGGGGCCAAGGCCACCTGTGGACAGATCTTGTTCTCGTATACCCCTGCAGCAGGGTTTTCCAACCTCAGCCTTAGGGACTTTGGGGGCTGATAATTTTTGTGGTTGTGGGCTGTCCTGTGCAGTATAATGTGTTGAGCAGCATTCTTGTCGCGCACTACGTGCAGGTAGCTTCTCCCAATTGTGACAATCAAAAGTATCCTCACGTACTGTCTCATGTCCCCTAGGGAGCAGAACTGCCCCTGGTTAAGAACCACAAGCGAGGTCTGTGTTGTCTCCATCTTGCCTTACCCATCTGCCCCCATCCTGGCTCTCTCTTCTCAGTGAAGTTCTTTAGGATGCCCTTCTGCATCCTCCCTCCCATCTCTGCCACCCTTGCCTCCCTTTTCTCTCCCCATTTTCATCCCTAACTCCTTACCGTCACCGCACCTGTCCGCCCTGGTGCCCCCAGATACATTACACCCTTGGTGGGTGACTGGAGACTCTCAGTCCTAAATCCTCTTGTCTCTTTTCTCTGCCTCCCCTCAATCCTTTTACCTCTGTTTTTTTGGCCAGGATGGAGAGGGGAGAGAAGTTAAAACGCCAGCAGATGTTCTGGGTAACTGAAAGCAGTAGCTCCCCTCTCTGCACCTCAGTTTCTTCACCTGTCCTGAGAAGAAATCATCCCGTCACCTTGAAAATAGGAAGTGGAGCCCTGCCTTCTGCTCCCATCCCGTAGACTCGAATTGCCCAAGGAGTTATATAGACAGAGTGGCTTTTCTGAGTCTGTAGCAGATGCATGTTCCCCAGGTCTCTCCTGGTCAAGTGGGAGGGAGGAGAAATGACTCACCTGGGGCTCCAGGCTCTGCACCTGCTTCTGCCTCACTCCAGTTGGAGGTCCTGGTTTGATGTTTCCTTGCAGGTGACGGCTGCAAGGCAAGGAGCCTGCCACCCTGAGTTTGCCAGCAGGGTAGAGGGGGAAGGGCTACCTGAACCTCACCATCATTATTTATGTTGCCTCTGCTCCGTGCCTGCTGCCTTCTCTTGCTGTGGTCCCACTGCCTCTGCATCTTCCCTCTGCTACAAGGATGCTGGGACCCCTGGGGACCCTGCAAGTTGTTGGACACCTCAGGGAGACTTTCTCACTTTCCTTCCCTCCCTCCCTGCCTGCCAGGGGTGAGTCAATTACCTGGGCTTCTCAGGGGCTTGAGCAGAATTTAATGCTTCACAAATTTGGCATTTGAGGCCCTGGTTCCTGACTTCGGCAGGAAAGCAGTCCTGCAATTGCCTGCTGGGGCTGAGGAGGCTGCCCCACATGCCTCTCCATCTCCTTTCTTCCCTGATCGGATCATTTGTCCAATTACATGTGTTTAAAAATTTTTTACATCAGTACATAAATATGTTTCTTCCTATTAAATCATTGAGATGCTACAAATAAGGCTAAAAGTCATGCAATGGCCAGCTATGGGATCACGATGGTGAATTTGATGGGCATCCTTGCAGAACTTTGCATGCAGGAGGAGGTGAACAGACACAAATACATCAATAAGATACTGCTATAGAGCTTTGTTGTGCTTTTGGCTTGCTTGTTTTGTTTTATTTTTAGGTGAAATTCACATAACTTAAAATTAACCACTTTAAAGTGAACAATTCAGTGGCATTTAGCACATTCACAATGTTATTCAACCACCGTCTCTTCCTAGTTCTAGAACATTTTCATCACCCCCTAAAAATGGGAGATGCCATCCCATTAGCAGTCTTCCTCCCTCAGCCCCTGGCAATCACTAATCTGCTTTTTGCCCCTGAGGGTTTGCCTGATCTGGACATCCC